TTTCTTCTACAACTCCCTAATAAATACGAACACATCTTTTTCGTTTTCTTTCTCCTAGAGTAAATAGAAGCCCACTAACATATACACTTTTGCTTAAGTTATGTTTTCTCAATCAAATTTCGACAGGAAAATAAATTCAGGCAGTCCAATACCAAGCCTACAAGTACAAGACCAGACTGAAAAAAAAAAAAAAAAAAAAACAAACAAACAAACCAACCTTGCTTCTTCATAAATCTCACTGCTGACCGCACATTAAATGAATATCATTACTGAAAGAAATATACTTCCCCAGTGGTTAAACAATTTCAATTCTAAGCTAAGAATCCATGCCTGTTTCAAAAGTAATGATCTCTTTATGGCTTTTCATGATAAATAACCCAGGCAACCTAGTTAAGAACAAAATAATTGGCTTTTCTTATTCTAATAAAGTCGGACAGCATGATATGTGATGAATTCAGAATTCGACTTGAAAGAAGATGCAGTCAATGCAATCAACATAATTGAACTAATACCCCCAATAGTCATCCCGTATTTCATCATCAAACTTCTTCTTTAGCTCTGGATGCTTCTCAAAATATTCATCAGCAGTCACTGTGCTGATCTTCTTCTGTTTATTTGATAAGCAATCATATAAGAATTTAACAATAAGAAAAGAAACTGAAGGAGGAGAATATAAGCAATTGTTAAATCAACTTCATCTCTTGAACTTCGATGATCTCCTTTTCGAATCTTTCAGACTTCTTCAGAGATTTCCCCTCTGCTTCTTTCAACTCAATCAACTGTAGTTCAAGACATGCAGTGCAATTAGATAATTAAAAGAAAATGAAAAACAGCTTCATTGAAATTAAGATCAGCACACTTTCAAAGAAATCCTTAATTTTCTTTAACACATTTTGTTGTAAAAATTCTTTTGCAGTAGTTTCTCCCAACACAAGAGCATGTATGCTTTCTCATAACATCAAATTTCCGGCCCCTAAATATGTTCCATTTTCAAATTACATCTTGTGAAAAGACAACTATTATCATTCTCATAGTTTTTTCATAAAAGATCAACAGTAATAAAAAGATGCTTCAGCCTTAAAAAAATATCTAGAAGAAGAGAGCACATTGAAGAAATGATATGAAAAAACGAAGAGTACAAACTAAAAGCAACTTTGGTTCTCACAAGGGAATCAAACTTAGGTTTGTATTGAGAAGTGACAGTGTCTACATACTTTGGGATCTCAATGCCCAAAAAGGCCAGAACCAGAAGAGTAGTTCATACACATCAACAGAGAGCAAGCTAACAATCTACCAGCTTGCAGGAAATTATTCCAGATAGAAACACTTTAATCCCTTGAAATAATAATTGTTACTTTCATGAGCATGAAAAACAACCATAGGGAATAATGGAACACTGATTTGCTTAACTCCTACTAACAGAAAGCAGCTCTACTTTTCCATTTTGCAGTTATCTGGCTCTGAATATTAGCAAAAACTAGTAAAACCGAAATAATAAAATGTTACTTTGCCAAGTTACTGAAAGTAGTGGATATCTGCCTTCAGATAGGCAAAGATAACTGTCTTGGGGCTATAAATAACACAATACAGATCTTGGGAAAACTATTTATCCTATTTGCATTTAAAACATAAATACACTAAATCGAAGGGGTTTACAGGCCGTGATTTGATCTGTACATCAATATTCAATAATAACCAAAAGGAAACCTGATAAAATCAAATGACTGTATAAAATAACTTGTTTGTCATTTTTTTTACGAAAACTGTCCATTGTCTGGTCACAGTGACAGCATGATAATCATAAATAGCAGAATGAAATAATCGAGAACTATGAAATAGGAGATCTAAGAGAATGAGATCCTCCATAAAAAATCTTAAAGAACCTCAGGTTTCCAAAAACAGGACCAATTGTACCATTGGAACAATTGATCCAGTTTGCACAAACAAGAAGAAAGACAACAGCTATACTTAGGTTAAAAAATGATTCACTTCATCATAAACTTCACACTAACCAGGCTCAGATTAACTTCTACAATTAGAAATGCAGAACCACACAATTAAAAAACAAAATAGTGCGTTTGTCCTCCTGGCTACCGCTGCTGTCCCCTCTGTACTTCTCTGTCATTCAATCATCATTTTTTTCTTTCTCTTTTTTTTTCTTTTTTTTTTTTTTTTTGGTTTTTTTTTTTAGTAATATATATATATATATATATATATATATATATATGAAACATCTTTGCTAAAGCCATTTCTCATGTAAACCTGTGAACTAATTTTTAATCATTCGGCTCAATTCAAGTTCAATCAAATTCACCAAAAAATAAAAATTCAAATTAAAAAAGGAAGACATGACCATTTAAACATTAAGCATCAAATTTGAAATCCTAATTTTCTAGCTAAACAGGAAGAAAAAGAAAGCAATCAGCGTCCAATTTTCATAATCAATGAAAGAAGAACAAAATGCATGTAGAGTAAGTAAGCAACAAGAAGACTATATACAGAAAATCATGAATGCTGCATAAATAAATATAATATGAGTAACGAGACATACTGTCGTATGCTTCTTTATACATATCAACTAAGCGGGAGCCGATTCCCTTTCTGTAATATTCCCAATCTGTCGGTTCAGGTTCCTGCATAGTTCTATTCAATAACAATGAAGGTTAACTACGCACAAAAACAAGAAGATTAGAAACCGGTTGGAGAAGAGACGGCTGAACTTAGTTTGGAGAGCGGAGTTGACTTCGTCGAAGACACGGCGGAGTGAAGAGAACTCCTTGACAAGCCTCGTCGGAGACCAGCATCTTCGCCATACTATCCCTGTCGGTTTCGAGATGCTTTCCATGCCGCGTCAACTCACTTCTTCCTGTTCCGCTCATGCTTTCTTTATTCACTTCGGTGCTTGCTTGCTTGCTTTTGAAACGGTGGTGGATTTTAGCGTTTTATTGCTTCTTTTTTTTTTTTTTTTTTTTTTTTTTTTTGTAAACTTTTCAGAGAAATATGTAAAGTAACTTTCTAAGAGCATCTTACTTTTCTTAATAGTCCATGTCATAATCTTTTAAAACTATTTTTTTACTAATTAAAATAATTTATTTTTTTATTAATGGATATAATTGAAAGAAATGCTGGTGTCTCAATTCTCACTATAAGATAAACAAGACTAATCAGAGACTTGTAAACTGTGGTAACAAATTTTCTAATTTCTATGTCTAACGCCCAATTAGGTGGCTCAATGATAAAAGAAATTTAATGAACTCCCAAGGTCAAATCTCTCTAACAATAATGCTACGAATACCGGGATTTTTACACCAAAATATTGTACCGATCTACATGTAATATGTTTATGATTTTCTTAATAATTTTTTTCTAGTGAACGGCGTCCATCAAATTTGGACGACCGTTCACTCACATGGACGAAATATTATACCGGCCTACGTGTAACATGCTTCTGATTTTCTTAACAATTTTTTTCTAGTGAACAGTCGTCCATCAAATTTGGACGACCGTTCACTCACATGGACGCCCGTCCATATTATATGGATGGACGTCCATATACAAGGGACGGGCGTTCCCATTTAAAGGACGTCCGTCCATAAATAAAATACAATAAAAAGTTTTTATAAACATTTGGGACTGTCGTCCATCGGTTATGGACGGCCGTCCATTACTTTTGGACGGTCCATACTAAAAAAAAAAAAAAAAATTTTAAACATGGATACTGCTTCTTCTTCTTCCTTTCGGAAATGTTCCATTTTCTTTCTCTTGGAATAACGGCGCCATGCAGCTTGGATGAAGCATGCGGCCCATGTCCTCCACTGTTATGAGTAGAACCTGAAGATGTGCTGAACCTGTCTACTGTGAAGGCGCCTGAATTGAGTGGCTGCAAATTTTAACTCTTCAGCGACAAAGCAGAAGCCTGAACCTCTCTCATAGCCTTCATCGTCTAAGTAGAGGATGGGAGGTTAATGCTAGATTTGTGTTCCAGTGCCCAGGTCAAAAGCTCCTCGCCACAGAAGTCCCTTCTGGAAAAGTAAATTGTTTTGATAGTTAGTTTTTGTTTTGAAATCCATTGTTTATCTGGATGTTCTTTTTAATTGTTTTTTGTGAATGTGTAGACTTCTCAGTGTGATGTTCGCTTTAGTTGAGTTACTGGCATTGGTTTTATGGTTTAGTTTGTAGCGTGTAAAGAGGGATCATGATTATTTGGAAAAGTAAATTAATAGTGGCTGGAGAGGCGATCAGTTTTGGCTTGGCTTGAAGAAGAAGAAGAGCAAGAAGGTGTCTTTTTTTTTTTTAAAAGTATGGACGGGCGTCCGTCCAAACGTAAAGGCCGTCCCCAATTTTTTTTTTTTTTTTTTATATTTTCATATTTTGGTTAAGGGCGGACGTCCCTTAATTGCGGACGTCCGTCCAAAATGAAGGGATGACCGTCTATAACGGATGAACGGTCGTCTTTAATTTTTATAAAAAAAATTTATTCCATTTTACTTATGGAGGAGTGTCTATTAAATGGGGACGCCCGTCCCTGGTATATGCACCCCTATTCATATAATATGGACGGGTGTCCATGTGAGTGAACGGCCGTCCAAATTTGATAGACGGCCGTTCACTAGAAAAAAATTGTTAAAAAAATCAGAAGCGTGTTACACGTAAACCGGTACAATATTTCGATGCAAAAATCACGGTGTCCATAACATTATTGATCTCTCTAAACACTAATAAAGGTAATCACTAGAACTTTTATTAGTTTAAAATCTCAAAGGATTAATTCCTAACCAATAGTTTTAAAATCCCAAAAAATTAATTAAAGTACATTAAGGACTAGGAATGGATTTCTTACAATTTTCTATTTGATTATAGTATTTGTTACTATTTAACCATAATTAAACCACGTAATCATATTCTATTATTATGATTGTTACTGTTAACTATCAATCGTAAATTTGAAGAGGAAAGGTTTAAACCCATGAATCTGAAGCATCTCAGTGTCTCAAAAAGTAAGCATCGGAAATTGTGGTTTTCTGCTAAGGCCCAAAAACCAAAATAAATGGATTCTTTAACTTCGCGTAAACCGGAAGCAATCCACAAATTGAGAGAAAGGGCTTGTTTCTAATTCAGTGACTATGTAAAATACAAAAGAAAAGAGACTATTCATATTAAGACGTTAAAAATAGTTCATAAAGTTTCATATTTACTACCACTTTAGATTTTGTACCAAAAATTTTATGGAGATATCAGGACGCAGGAGAGGAAGAGGAGACATATTTGCTGTATATAGTTTCAATACAACTCTGTATCAGATTCAAAGTACTCTGACTCATCATCTTCATCTTCCTCTTCTTCATAAGAGTCGTCATCACTGTCATCGTACAAGATATTATCCTCATCCCAAAGAGGACAAGAACAAGTTGCCCTTTTGTTCTTCCACTCCGCTCCACAGTTATAGCAAAACTCATATCCGCATCTGCAAAATCAAAGCAAATTGGACAAAACATTTTTTTTAATGTAACATTAAACCTCAAAAAGATATAAAAGAACTTGATTTCACAACTTTCAATCAAATGGGAGAGTTAACAACAAGAACCAAGTTGTAGACGTGCTACTTGATAAAGTCTGAGGACACTCAGATATATAAAAACTTTATTTTACTACTGGCCATACTCTGCACAAGATATAGTCCAAATAATATTTGGCTAAATGTGTTCCTCTTGCCATTAAACTCCATTTTGAACCATCTCTTCCATCCAAGTAAATGGTAATCATACCCGTTCCAACTTAATCACGCATTCTTGCTTAACGATTTTGTTGTTCCATACATTAAATTTGGCCTTCATTGAAAGTAACAAGAATCCTAAAAACATAGATCTTGCCACGCTCTCAATCAAAACTGGACATCTTCATTTAAGCTAAAATTATTAATGAACATGTTCCTCAATGACCAGGATTCATAAAAATCAACATTCCCATTCACACTCCCCTTTAGAATAATAATTATGCAGCGATCAGATAGAAGTCAAGCTTTTTTCCTCTTATCCACCCAACTCTAAGTATACAAACAACAATTTCTTCCATTTCATCTCCCTTATGTTAAGTTACGACAGGAATTTGAAAAGAAAAATAAGGGAGAGAAAATTCCTGGGGGTTATGGGTTATGTATATTGGTGATATGCAACATGCAAGTTTGCAAGTTATATCATGCAACAAGCAAAAAGACTATACTTTCTTCTCTTAGTTAAGATAATTAACATTTATGATTGTGTAAACTTAACCTTAATGCATGAAGTTTGAAACTTTTACACCTTGTATGCTTCCTTCTCTTTCAATTTTGGTCACATATAAATTCTACTTAAACAACATGATAATCGATAACAAATAAGTATAAATAACGTACCTGCACGTCATGTGGTAACAACCTTCAGAAAGTTCTATCATATGGTTGCACTTCACACATTGGCGCCACAGATTCCTTGATGCAAGAGACTTTAGCTTCACATCCTCCACTGGGGGGTTAGGATTCAACATTTTGTAAACATTGCAAGTCATGTTAATATGCCAAGGAACCTTGCAATTTATGCAGAAAAGGCCATGACATTGCACACATTTCGCAGCTCCAGACAGATCAAAACCACGAAAGGCATTTTTAGCATATTTTTGAACCTCACTTTTTGTCATTAATGTCGAGCACCTGGGATTTGGGCAATAAACTTTCTCTGTAGCAGGAATTGAGGCTTCTTTTATACGTTGATTCAGTATTTCAACTAACTTAGGTGTCAAGAATTCTCTACAGCTATCGACTTTAAGTTCAGATTTACAACCTTCATGAGGACATTTAGGCAACATCCCATAACGCAACTTTGCTTCCACATGCTGTTTCATACAAGAAAAACAGTAGCGATGCAAGCATCCTTCAATGGAAAACATATGACCAACATCAGTATCTTCCAAACAGATAACACATGTTTCATTTACAGTTTTGCCACTGCTCGAATCCACAGGCCTTGTGATTTGAGAATCTATCGCAGCTCTTGCAAGTTTGAAGACACCCGTCATAGCATTACGTGCCACAAAAAAGGTGCTGCAGTAACTAAATTTTGTTTGAAGAAGGGACACCTGATTGACTAACGCAGCAACCTTCCGTTGCTTTGATGTCCATCTTCCTGTAACCTGCACTGCAAAATGAAATGCTAACAACATCTATCTTAGGGTAATTCAAAGCAAAATGTAGCGCTACAATTCTAAAACTAATAACAATAACTATATTATGAGGTAATAATAAACAAAATCCCAAAGAACTTTGAAAAACTATTAGATATATGTCTAATTACAGATCGCAATCTTTTTTGTGGAATCTTCATTATCAATAGAATGATTAAACATACAAACTCAAGAATTATATAATCAAAGACAAAAACAGAAACATCCAGGAGTTTAACAAAATACATTCCACAGTATCATGAGAATATTAACATCAGCTAACTTATCATAATACCCTAATCAGTTGACTAGATAGAATATACAAACTGATAAAATCAAAATTACAAAGCTCAAAATAAGCCCTACAAAAAGGCAATCACGGTGCACAAATATGTACTTATTTCAATTTTAATTTATTGATAAAAAGAGGTTACCCATCCACGTCAGAGAAGCTTCTTCATTAACAAAGTAATTCAAAAAAATTGTTATCAGATGCTTCTTTTTTATAATTTTTTTTACATTAAAAAATGCTAAATTTAAAAAATCTTCAAAACAAATTGGATAAGAGAATTATAATCCCAAACAATCAAAGATGAAATTTCGACACCACGCTGGAAGGGGAAGCAGTATGAGAATAAGAAAATCCAGCTACCATACCTAGCCAAGTGTTATCATCTCTTTAGCAAGTAACAATAATTGTTGATCACATTGCAGAACACTAACAACTAGATGGAGGTTGTGTGATTGATACTTGCTTTTCAACTCTACTCTAGTCCCAACTCGGCTACCCATCAGTCTAAGACAAAGTGGTACAAAATTTCTGCTGTTCATAGCTGTTAAAATGTACTCATCTTTCAATGAATTGCTTTATCTCACACTTTAAAACACACCAAACTATAGCTTTAAACAATCAAATAGTTATCAAGTAACCCCACGAAGTATGAACGGTAGTCTCACCCACACCACCAAACTCTTGACTACTCTAAATCTTATCATCAAAACCCAGAGAAGTTGGTTCTTTATATTATTAGGACTAACTACAAGTATATTAGAAATTCTTTAATCATGCCACAACTATCATGTTTTCTTCCTTTCTTTTTTCCTTTTCTTTCTCTCTTTGCAGAAGCAATTATTTAATTAATTTTGTAATGCAATGAAATTAAATAGGAAAGAAATGAATGACTTACATATTGATACAAAGGATAACAATCACAGTAAATCCGAACACGCTTAAGCTCTAAAGATAGAGCAACATTAAGTCCTTCAATCAAAGCCTTAGCCTCAGCAGCATTCTTGTTCATACCGCCACCAATCAACGGTTTTTGAAACGGGAATATCAAATGACCACAAGGATCGCATATCTCTATACCAATCCCACACAACACAACCTTCTTCTCGTTAATCCTCTCTTCACTCACCAATCCCTTAAAATAAAGGCTAAATATGTTATTATCACGTGCGTCCCCACTTCCTGAACATCCTTCGCCGAACGGTTTCTCGAAATTATCGCCCCACTGTTGCCACTCCTCCTCGGGCATCCTGGAGAGTTCCATGGCGAATTTCTGATCGTGAGCAGCACGGTGAATAGCTTCATTAGTTTTACGTATCTCCAGTTTCGCTTGTTCGTAATCGGCGAGTTCTTGCTCCATCTTCTTAAGTTCTTCGGACTGGAGGGAGGCGAAGGTAGGAGAAACGACATCGTGTAGAGGTTGTTGTGGTAGAGATGGTGGCGGTGGCGGTGACCGTGCTGACGACGTGGAGGCTGAGGTGGAGGGGACAAGAGTGAGAGAAGCAGAGATTGCTTCTTCGAGTTGGAGACGGAAGGCATAATCGAGGTCGGATTCTAGGGATTGAGCGGCCATGAGCTCCACGTGCTGTTCGGCGAGTAAAGAATGAAGGTCGTCCGCGTCTTTGGCTGTTGCCATTGATTTGAAGAAGTGGAAAGTGATGTGCAAAGGGTAATTGGAGTGTTTGGATGGGAAGGAAAGTGGAGAGTCAATTAGTAAAGAAAGTGATTCTTGAGAAAGCGAGGGGGAAACAAGAAAAAAATGATGCTCGGCGTGCTGCGAAAGTTACGGGGTTGGGGCGGGACATAAAAGGAACAAAAATAAAATATTTTATCTTAATAAATCGTTTATATTATAAAGTAGAATTACTTTTATAAAAAATAATTCCATTAATCTATATTTATATAATCCGAAAGTCCACGCTCTCAATTGATCGTCACTTGAACTTCACGGAAGATGTCATATATAAGATCTTAAGAGCTCTATAATTATTGTGAGTGTTTATAATTAATGTGTTAAAATATGATTGGTTGATAGTTAATAAGTTTGTTGATGTATGTATATAATCTTGAAGCTCACCCTGCTCGTCGTTTAGACTCTACCTAGAATTCCACATAGGATCTTAGGAGCTATTGTAAGTGTTTATAATTAATATATTAGAATGTGATTGGTTGATGGTAAGTGAATGTAATTAAAAGTTAAATGAACCATTTAATTTCAAATTATAAGTTAAAATATCTATATAACTATATCACATTCTCATTAATACTAACCTTTGTGTCCCAAATTTTATTCAATTAATGACATATTAATAAATTAATTATTTTATTTTATTGGGCATTCCAAATGTTTAATCCCTACACATTAAGCTCTTAGATATAAACGTTTTACATTAATATTCTGTATTAATTTCTCACATTTACATTCACATTAACTGCTAAAATCGTTATTTGTTTTGTAGAAACTGCTCACATTCACATTCAATGTTTTGTAGAAATCTTTCACAATAACATTCATATTAAAGGTTGAAATTGTTATTTGTTTGTTTATTGTTTAATCTGATAAATACTGATAATTCACATGCATTTATTGTTTTGTAGTATCCTTTGACAATCATATTCACAGTAATTATTTTTATGGTTATACTGCTTTTGTATATGTGAATGTGAAGTGGCGCTTTTTTTTTTTTTTTTTTTGTGAAATAGTATACATGCATGGATAGGCGTGAATACTAATGAAATGATAACGTGTATTATTAATTTTTGTGAAATGTGAAAAGATGTATTGTATCAGTTACAATATTAATTACTTTGAATCCTCTATATATATGTCCATTATGTAATAGTTTGCTATATAATTTATCTAAAGAAAGATAGGTGTGTAATTTCTATTTCTTATTTGTCATTGTTTTCTTTTGGTTTTTCCAGTTTATTATTAAACTTTTGGTGCTAATAATGTATTCATTTCTCTACTCATTTTTAATTGGCTGGAATTTTTTCGTTGTTGTATTGTTATAGTCCTATTTGATTTCTCTACGCATCTTTTACATCTTCATTTTCATCTGTTTCAGGAAAATCAAGTGATAATGACCTACAAGGATTGGTATCATTTGACAATTTCAGGATGAACGAGTGAGAATTTTTGCCATAAAAATGAATTCAATTTTAGTGATGAGAAATGAAAACAAATATTGATAAATAGTTTTAATTGTAATTATTCTATCTTTTTTTACTGATATTTTTTTATGTTATATACATAAATCATGAAAATATATTGTTGCTGAATATAACTAATTTTATTTGTTTAACAAATATCAACCGATGTTTGATGCCGAAATATGTAGCTTTAGTATATCATTTGTAATATGTCAAACCACTCTTACTATTCTTAAAGGAAAACAAATATTGATATGTAGTTTTAATTGTAATTATTCTATCTCTTTTTGTTGATATTTTTTATGTTACATACATATATCATGAAAAGAGGTTGTTGGTTGATATAACTAATTTATTTGTTTAACACATATCAACTAATGTTTGATGTCGAATCATGTAGCTTTAGTAAACCATTCATTTTATCATCACACACATTTCGGTTTTCACTGAACAGTCAGTAGTAAATTGACTATTTGCATAATAAAAATCCAATTGATGAGAGGTTTGAACCCTTATAAACTAGACAGATAGAGCTTTAATTTGATATATTATATGCTTAATTTGGACAACTGTAGCTCCACTACCAAACCATTCTTTTTATCATCACACACATTTTGGTTTCCATTGAACAGTCAATAATAAATTGACCATAATTTGCTCAATAAAACTCTAATTGAGGAGAGGTTTAAAACCTTAGAAACTAGACAAACATGACTTTAATTTGATATATTATATGCTTAATTTGGATAAATGTAGCCCCACTGCCGAACCATTCCTTTTATCATTACACACATATCTGTTCCCACTAAATAGTCAGTAGTAAATTAATCATAACTTGCTCAAAAAAAAAATCAATTGATGAGAGGTTTGAATATTCAAAAAGTAGATGAACAAGGCTTTAATTTGATATATTATAATCTTAATTTAGACAATTGTAGCCCTACTTCCAAACCATTCCTTTTATAATCACACATATTTCGGTTTCCACTAAACAATCAATAATAAATTGATCATAACTTGCTTAATAAAAATCCAATTGATGAGAGGTTTGAACCCTTAGAAACTAGATAGAAAGGGATTTAATTTGATATATTATACGCATAATTTTGATAACTGTAGCCCTATTTTCGAACCATTCCTTTTATCATCACACACAGTTTAGTTTTCCCTCTTTCTTAATTTCCACTTAACAGTCAGTAGTAAATTAATCATAACTTGTTCAATAAAACTCTAATTAATGAGAGGTATAAATATTTAGAAACTAGATAAACAAGGCTTTAGTTTGATATATTATACGCTTAATTTGGATCACTGTAACACCACTGTCAAACCATTTATTTTATCATCACACACATTTCGGTTTTTCCTGTTTCTCGATTTTCACTGAACAGTTAATAGTAAATTGACCATAACTTGCTCAATAAAACTCCAATTGATGAGCGGTTTGAATCTTTGTAAACTAGAAAGTCAGGGCTTTAATTTGAAGTATTGTTTTGATAACTATAGACCTAGTGCCAAACCATTTATTTTATGATCACACACATAAAACAAATTCAATTTTAGTGATGACAAAAGAAAACAAATATTAATATGTAGTTTTAACTGTATTTGTTCTATCTCTTTTTGTTGATTTTTTTATTGATTTTTTTGTTTGATTTGTGGGTTTTGTGGGTTTTACAATTATCATATTTCTTTAGGATGATATCATCAAATGTTTTTTTTGCTATATGTGATGGTCAATTCTAATTGCAGCAAATAAATTTGTGTCACAAGACTTTTATCTTCACGACTTCTTCAATGCTTCAATTAAGTTGTCTTCAGATTATACTGCTGGAGTTGTTGTTGCTTTCCATGTGAATAATCTTCCCAAAATTCTTAATTTCTTTTTATTTATAAAATAATAATAATAAAAACAATTCATTTTCTCTTCCCAGCAATCAAAATCAATTTTTTCCTTTGGCTTTGTAGGTCTATTGCTTAAAAGTTCACATTTTTCAGCAAGATTTCTCTTTCTCTGATTGATTTATAGACTTATCTATAATACCCAATGGATTATCCTGTAATTTTTTTTGTTTTTCTTGACAAAGTTTTAAACTTTTGTGCAAATGTAAAATTGTAACATATTTGAGAAAAACCATGATGATATAGACTTTGAGTTAAATTTATGGATATTTTAATTATCAATTCAATATAAAATTAACTTCAATACAGAAATTATATACTTAAAACCAATGTTTTTAAAACCGACCAGGGGTGAAACCCGATAAAGTAACCGGGTCTCGGGTCGACCGGTTTAACTAGTTGGTTCAACTGGTGATATCATTATGCTGACATCAGCATGATGACCCCCCAAAAAAAAAATTTCAAAGACTAAAAAAAGGCTAGCTTTCTCTACACACTTTCGCATGTCAGCATGATGACACCCAAAAAGAATTTCTCGAAAAATCACAAACAAAAAAAAAAGTAAAAAGAAAAATGTATCCTAAGCTTTCTCTACACACTTCCACAACACCCCAAGAAACAAAGAAAGAGAGCCAGAGAGATGACAAGACTCTCACAATAACACCATTTCTCTCTTCATCGCCCAAGTAAGTCTTTTTCTTCTCCTTTTTCATGCTTTCTTATCTGGGTATTTGCTCTTTTTCTTGTTCTTGTGTTTTTTTTTTTTTTTTTGATGTGTGTTGTTTGTTTGACTTGAACAATCATCTTCTATGGGAGAGAGAATCACTCCTGAAAGTAACTGTCATCGAAGATGAGATAAAATGAAGATAACGAAGATGAAACAAAGCTGCCGTTGAAGTGGAAATGAAAAAATTAAGAGATAGAAACGAAAAATCGATGAAGAAATTTAGAAATAGACTAATGGAAGAGGGCAAATATGGGTTAGGGCTTGAAAGAATGAAAAACTGAGGAAAAATGTAAAAAAATAAAATCACATTTAGGAGGGGGTTAGAGTTGACCCGGTTTTTTTCCAAAACCGATTGGACTAGCGGGTTGCTACAGCATCTCCGGTCAACCGTGGGTCATACCAGGTGAATTATATAATCCGGGTTTTATGCTAATCTGGCCCGGCTTAGTGGCCGGGTCTCGGTTGAACCGGCCGGATCGGGCCGGGTTTTAAAACATTACTTAAAACATAAAAAACCTAATAATAATGTAAAAAATATATATAACAAACATACATGTGTAACGCGCGAGCTTTCCATTTGGTTACTTATATAATTCCGGGACTTCTTGAATCTTGATCCCATCTTTTTTCAAAAAATATATCACTATTGTTGGTTTGGTTTATGTTAATCCATGTAAAATGTAAATGGTACAAAATCAATTTCATACGATAAATTAACGTTCACAATATTCTTTCCATTTAAGAAGAAAAAAAAAAATCCTCAAAATTTTAGAATGAAACTCAAATTGTATAAGCTCTTGAATTTTAAAATTATAAGATGCATACCCAAAAAAAAAAAAAATTACTTCGTAGGAAAATAAAGAAAAAGGGAAAATTTTGAATTTCTTTTCATAATTATCATCCAAGGGGTACAGTTTTTCTAAAATAAATTAGGAGATTATTTTTCTTCATGACCAGTAGTTTAATTACAAACTTTTACAATGAATTATATTCTG